GTAACCCACGACCTGTTGTCTTGATCCAGGTGTTGTTTGTTCTACAGAAACGTTTACTTTTATGTAAACAAACCCATCAAAGTCTTGTTCCACGGTTGTGCTTTGGGAGTTTTGCCAAGCTCTTCTCCATTTGTAGCTCACAAATACATTTTCCCACCTTACTTTCTATTAATTTCCTATTTCACTGTTCTCGCAGAGATTTTTAATCTTCCCAAGTCCCTGGACGTGATGCTGGGAGGGGGCAGTGTTACCTTCCCCGTAGTGTGCCACTTTGCAGCAGCAGCCCAGACCCCGCCCGCCCCCCTGGCCCGGGGTCCCCTCCGCCAGCTCCCGCATTCTGCCCCGGCGCTGCCAAGGGTCTGTCTTGGTGCTGTTTTGCTCGCCCCTCCAGGTCTCACGGTGGGTCTGTAGATTTTAGAATCCGGCAGAAACTCGCCACTCCTGGCTCTTTTCCAAAGTTGACTAAACCATAATGTGGACTTTTTCTCTTCCATACAAATTTTAGAATTTAATGAATACCTCAAAAAATCAAACAGCATTTTGATCAGGATTACGCTGGATTTAGTACACATTTTCTCATCCCTTCAACATTTTTCTATATGCTTTTTTTTTTCTTTTTGTCTTTTTTACTGACCAGTAACGGGATCGCAACCCTCGGTGTTGCGCCTGCACCGAGCTCAGCCAGTGAGCAGGAACCGGTCACCACATGGGATCCGAACCCTCGGCGGGAGCGCCGCTGCGCTCCCAAGTGGCGCACTCTCCAGTGCGCCACCGGCCAGCCCTAGATTTTAATTTTTGACCCATTTTGAGAAAGTCTCCGCCTCTCCCTAAGGTGGTCCCGCGAGGGCTGATGTGTGGGGAAACCTTCCTGCGCTTTGTCGGTGGTGCCCGCTCCCTCTGTCCTCCCGTGTCCTCTCTCCAGAAAGGGAAGGCTTTTGGATTTTCTACTTGTGAACTGGATGTTTCTATTAGTGGTTACTTTAAATTACATTTCCCCATAAACTTCACTGCCAAGCACCTGCCTGGTCCCTTCTCCCAGGCCAGGATAGAAAGCTTGTCTTCACCTCCACGTGCCACCCCTTCCTCCCAGGTGAAACAAATCAGAACCTCACGCATCAGGTCACTACTGGCTTCTGTGAGGGCCCATTTTGTGTCACGCCAACGATTCTGTATTAGCATTTGCAAAAAGCTTCACAACCATGAAAAGCACACTCTTTTAAAGTAAAGTTTTGCTGGTTTTGGTGCTTGTTGCTTTTTTTTTTTTTTTTTTTTTTTTTTTTTTTCTTTTTCCGTGTCCGGCAACGGATTGCAACC